ATAGTGGTTGTTAATTAGTTGCAGGCATTTTAATAGCAAAGCTGATCATGAGATACTTCCAAGAGTTAGCATTATATTCCTGATCCTCACACAGAGATGAGACCCTGCCCAAGCAGACAAAAGGGTACAGAGAAACTTCCTGTCTGTCAAATGCAGTGAGGAATGTGTTCATTGAAGCACCAGAGGGATGCAAGGAGTGGAGAAGGTTACCTGAGTGTCTCCAAGTCCATTTTAGCTATTGATTACTGGCCCTGGCTATGCCCACCAGGTATTCTGCTCCACACAAAAGCAGGACTAAATGAGAATTTCAGCTCTGCAAGGGGCTTATGGTGTCCTGGAGGGTTTGTGGCATGAGGAAGTTGGCTGAGATTGAGGGCATTTATCCAGGCAGGTTCTCCAAAGTAGGAACCAGCATTTGGACCTGGTCCCTCAGTGCCAGGATGGGATTTCAGTCTGTTTGGCCATACAAGGTCCTCTGTGTCATGGGGGTAAGTGTCTTAAATGCCACTGGAAATGTATAGAATCTCAGAATTGTTTAGGTGGGAAAAGACCTATTTGACCATAGCACTGTCCAGCCCACCACTGACCCATGTCCCCAGATGCCACAGCTTTTAAATCTCTCTAGGGATGGGGACTCCACCACTGCCCTGGGCAACTGTGCCAGGGTGTGACATCCTTTTTGATTAAGGAATTTTCCCAATATCCAATCTAAACCTCACCTGGCACAGCCTGAGGTCATTTCCTCTTGTCCTGTCCCTTGTTCCCTGAGAAAAGAGCCCAGTGCCCACCTGGCTACATCCTCCTGTCAAAGCCAGAAGGTCCCTCCTGAGCCTTCTTTTCCCCAGGCTGAGCCACCTGAGCTCCCTCAGCTGCCCCTCATGAGACCAGTGCTCTTAAGTGCCTGCTCACCTCTCAGTTTTTGTAGGAATTGCTTGCCCAGATCTCTGTGCAGCCACCGGGAGAATGCAGCCCCACATTATCCCCCAGCTCCCCACATGCCAGACAAATGGTGGGGGCTCTCAAAAGACTCATCTCACTCGTGGGGATATGGGCAAGGCTCTGACAGGACAGAGCAACTGTGTTTTAGACCACAGCTGTCCACGTGTCTAAAGTTATTTTCCCCAGACTCGTGCCTTCCTGCTCCTTTCCTTGGGAGCAAACGATGTAGTAAAAACTTACAGGAATCGTGTATTTCTGAGCATGTAGGCTGGTAATCACCGAGACAGCTGAAGCCTTACATTTGTTTGCGTAGGCTTCTCTGACAGAACAGACATTTGTCAGATCTAAATTCTGTTGAAAGGTATCTCATTTAGTTAATTAAATAAAAAAATGGGTGGAGAAACAATAGCAGAAGCAAGACCATCCTATTTCCAGCTTGGCAGCCCTGACTGTCTCCCCTTGGTTTTTAGTACTTTTGCAATTTCTTTGTGACTCTCAATGTCTCTTTAGTTTCCATTTTGTCTGATGGCCAAATCCCACTGAAGTCTGGGGGAGTTTTGAACTGAATTGGAATTTGGCCTTTGAAGTGAAAATAGTAATTTAATGTTAAATTGAGTCAAGAGATAAGAAACCATTGTACTGCCCAGATGCTTTTTCTTGTAGCTGAATTATGGCTCCCTGCAAGGCACTGCATCCTTATGGCTCAGGATGAGCAGAGGGGGACAGAGGAATGATTTCCCAGTAACTGCAGCATTTTTCTGGGGTGAATTCTTGCATTGCTTGGAGGTGTTGCTGTGTAATTCAAGCTTCAGCTTCCTCCCTTCAGCGTCTCAGACCTAAAAGCCTGGGTGGGAGGTGCATTTGGGTGCTTTCCTGGACTGGTTCCTTGGGCTTGGCACATCACCCCAAGGCACCATCTTGGGACATCACCTTAAGCTGGCATGTGAGCACCTACAGTGCTGCCCTTGAACAAGCACGAGGTTGTTTCCAACAACCCACAGTGGGAGTGTGGCTGGTCCCCATTTTGTCCTTTCCTGGGGCTCTCTGTGTCCCCAGCACCTTGGTGACACCTGAGAGCAAGCATGGGTCATCCCAGCCTCCCAGGCTTTGAGATGCTGTGCAGTCAAGTTTTAAGGTGTGAGGCCTGTTCTCCCTGCTTTGGCTCTTCTTTCCTGCAGATCCTATTTCTTCTTGGCTTTTCTTTTTCGCTGGGGTGTTGGGAAGATAAAGGCACACAACGAGACTTTGCCTGAAAGCTGGATGATTGTCTAGACCCCTGACTGCTGCCAAGTCACAGACATTGCTCCTTGTTTGCCATTCTCCTTCCCTTGCCTTTTATTTCTTGCAATTTTTTTTCCCAAAACTCTTTTAACTCTGGCGTTTTCACCCTTTGGCCAGTGACTGCAGAGCTTGGTCTGAGTTTGCTCTGCCCCTTGCCATGGGGACATCACCTTTCAGCTGTCCCCTGGAGGGGCAGGGCTGCCTGCTCTCCCCCATCCTATTGCAACAGCCCCAAAATGAACAATCTTGCACATTCCACACTGGCTTAAATAGGTGGGGTTTTTTTAATCTTACACCTTTTTTTCATTCATAGCCCTTAAACATTAAGGGTTAGGTTTATAATATGTCTTTAGAAAAAAACTATCCCGGTGTGCATGTCTTGCAGGAATTTATGGCCAGGTTTGGTTCCCAGCTCATTTCCAGGCATTCTCCCTTGCTTCTGAAATTATAGCTGTATCTTTGTGCAACTTCTGTAATTTCTGTGTAATATTTACAAATCAAATAAAGTAACAAGCTGACTGGCTTATGAGCCAAGACTTGAAATGCAACCAAACAGTTAAACTCAGATGTCTGAGAGAAGAACAAAACCACAGAAAGCAAAACTCTTGTACCCTTGGCCCTGTAAGGCCTTAGTACCAGATAAGGTTTTTAACTAACTTTTATTTTGACATTCCCCTTTTAATAAGCATTGCTCTTTACAAAGCGGTTTATGTGATTGCATTACTGAGAGGAAACAAAGAAATGCCAGGAAAACTTGATGTGGAGAATCTGTACTCATAAAATGCTTGTAGGCTCCAGCAAACAGGAAAGCTTTCCGCATCTCCGTTTTGGGGTTTTTTTCCTTTTTTTTTTTTTTTTTTTAATTCCCTGCCATTCAGTTTGCAAGGGGAAAAAAAAAGAAAAAAGAAAAAGGAAAAAAAACCCCAAAAACTACAGACTGAATATCTCAGAAAACCGGATCTGGTGGTCTGAGAGTAAACACGAATTCCATCCAGTGCCATGAACAAGCCTGTTCGTCCTGCATTTGTTAAACATGAGCCCTCACTCTTTATGGTTAAAAGCCAGTTGGCCCCAGAAAATAGGTTTTGATTCCTGGGGATGCCAAGGAATACAGATTCCGTGGGCAGATGGCTTTGGCAGGCAGGGTTGGAGACTGCTGACCATTGAAGTGTATTTGTGAATGGTTGCTTCCTTCATCCGAGCTCCCTTAGCTGAGCAGTGCCAGTGATGAAAGTAAAACTAATTGCTGTGGGATGGGTTTAAAGTAAACACTGCTATTTATCCAGATTGGGGTGGGGGTTTGGGATAAGGAGGGAGGCTGACCAGGGGTTTTATCATGGCTACAGAACCAATACAGAGACAAACCACATGGTCCCCACAGCACTCAAAGTTTTTTCCTTGTTTTTGGGGCTGATACTGGGGAGATGTCCTGTGTCGTCCTCTAGCACTTCTCCCAGCAGCCTTGTAAAGGCCAGGCATTAAAACACCCCACGGGCTCTCAGAGCCAAGACCAACATCAAGGAGGCATCAGGCAGGGAATGCCAGCATGCTTAGGGTGGCCATGCTTAACAGCCAGCCCTGGAGAAGGCAGCCAGTGCCAGGACCATCTCCATCTTAGCTGCATCCTGGAGGATGGCATTCTGGCTCTGCCTTCTCCACTGGGGACAGCCACGCTGCAGCCTGTTTGGAAATCTGAGATGCCTGAGACTGCCAAAGCATTTCTTCCATTCAACTGTTGTTTTTTTGGGGATTTGCCATCTCGGCTACCGGTTACAGCCAGCACTCAGGGGCTTGCTCATTCTTTCTGAGATGTTGTAGTCTCTTGAGTAAACCCTTTGGAGGCAGTTCCTCCTCTCTGTGGCTGTTGGGTTTCCATGTTACCCATCTGGATCTCTGTGCACATAGGTCTCTCTCTGGAGGTTGTGGTCCTGGATGCCATGATCTCCATGCTGCCAAAGCCAAGTTTGGTCCTCTTTTCATCCATGCATGTGTCCCAGTGCCGAAGGATATGTAAAAAATAAGGCCAAAGAAAACCATTTGGTGTTGGCAGATTACCAATTTACTTAGTATCTTGCTTCTTAGTTATTTTTTTTCCACTTAGAAATCCTTGATACACTTAAACTAGCTCACTGCAAACTCATGCAGCAGTGTGCCATGTTGGCAGGCAAGAGGAGAAAGTGATGCTGTAGGCCAGGTGTATTAGGAGTTCTAAAGCCTTCAGAAAAAAATATCTCCTCGCATTTCCTGCCTACCTGACTTGCTGCTGCTGTTTTTCCTGGTTAGTGTGGAAGTAACACAGAAACCTGAGAGAATTTAACACAAAAACCTGAGAGAATTTTTCCTGGATACCAAAGTCATGTTGTCCAACTTCACAAAAACTTTCACTTGAAATATGACTGTCACTGAAAGAAATTTAGGGGCATGAATTGTTAGATGACAAGAAATTGCCTCCCCATTTTCAGTCCCCTGCCAAGGGCCAAGCTGTTTGGTGGAACAGATGTGTTGGCCCAACAGAACCACATCGGAATGAGTGAACTTCCTTTGACTTTCTTCTACATTTTTTTTTTTAAATACACTGTCATTCGGTTTGCAAAATAAAAAGCAAACTAAACAACCAAACCAAAAAACCTATTTGATTTCCAGCTAGAAGGAGTTAATTTTTTTATTATATATTATTTTAATATATATATATATATATATATAAAATTTTTTAATTATTATTATTATCTATTATTTTCTGTGGCCAGCTGACCTCTCAATGACTTCCTTTGGCTTTCCAGGCGACAGCAGAGGCTTCCCAGCGGGAACAAGTCTCAGCAGCACACGGATCATCAGCAGGGTGGCACCAAGCATAACAGGGACCACCAGAAACTCTACCAAGGAGGCCAGGCCCCTCACTCCTCGGGCAGGACGGGCCACCACGGCTACAGCCAGAACCGGAGATGGCACCACAACCAGAAGCACTCGCCCAACGACAAAGAAACGCACAGAAACGCCAAAGAGACTGAGAATTTGAAAATCGAGGACAGCCCCGCGTGCACGGCGCACGTCCCTGCGGAGGCGCCGCGAGGCCCCGAGGCCGTGGAGAAGCAGCCCCAGCAGACTGAGCCCGAGACCAAGCGGAAAGACAGCGCCCACGAGCGCCCTGGGGACAGGCCCAAGATCAACCTGCTTCAGTCTTCTAAAGACAGGCTGAGGAGGAGACTAAAAGAAAAGGTACTATTTCTTGGGTTGCTCTTTTTGTCAGGGTCTGGCCGATGGCCATTCTCTGTATAAAGGGTGGGGTGAGCTCAAGGGACATTTCACCCAATTTATCTTAGTCCCCCAGTGTCAGCACTTCTCTTGAGGTGTCTTTGTGCTTCTTCAGGAGGCCTTTTATTGAAAGAACTGAGGCTCTGAGCTTGACTTCTTGGGTGAGATTGCTACCAGCTTCGGTTGGACTGGAATCTCTCCCGTTTTCCATGGGGGAAGGCTGGTGCACACATGAGCTCCCTCCTGATCTGAAGAGCTCAGTCACTTCCCAAAAAACATGTAAAAAAGGCAAATTGTCTCTGCAAATACAGAGCTAAATCCCAAAACTTTGACTCCTGAGTGCTGAACAGTTGGACTCCGCTGCTTTAAAGCTGATATCCATTTATCTCTGCAATGAATTGAAACGCCCTTATCTCCCCCCTTCCTTCCAGCAACCCAACAATAACAAAAGTATTGCATGCAAGTGACGGAGGAGAAATCCTTTTTGGAAACAATATTCAGCCACAGATTTCTGAGGAATTTGGAGATGATATCTCCATTTGCCCCCTGTAAAACTCAGATTCTTTCTCTTGAGATTCTTTTGTCAGACTGTAAAAAGCATTCATGGGGTTATCTCTAATGAGATTTCCAAAATACAGAGCAAAAATAACCTGAACATATACAATTCCATGGGAGTGCATGCTGGAAATGTATACCTTTGAATGCATGAGCATTTACTATTTCTGGATGTGGCATGAGGGGGAGTAAGAGATTTTGTTAGGTTTTTTTTATGTTCTTTAAAGCAATGGAAGTATAGTAGAGACTTTCAGAGTATTCATTTTAGTGCTCTTCTCAGAAATTTAGAGTCTTGTAAGACTAAAAATCTCATCAGCACCCGCTCCTGGGTGGGTGTTGTCAACAGAACCAGTCTCCTGATGGGAGGTTTGGACAACTCCCTCGGGGATTGGATTTGCTACAGGTTTGTATTACATAAGATTGAGCTGGAGGGGTAGAAGAGAAGACCAGAGCAAGCAGGATGCATGCCTAACACTGGGGAAAAAGGAGCAAACGCATAATAAAATGTTGAAAAGAATCAATAATTTTTGTGGTAATGATGGGAAGTGAAAAGTGTAACAGGCAAGAGATGGAAAAGTCAAGAATCTTCTCAATGTTGGGATCATATGACTTCTTTGAGCTCAATTTACATAATGAAGTGTATATATTAAAATATATATTTGTATTTAGATATATCTATTTATATGTATATATTTTATATTAAATAAGTATATGAAATATATTTTTATGGGATTGTTGTCTGAAGATTTTGCAAACATCAGGTCACTTTCTAAAGAGAAACAAAAAAATGTCCATTATCACAGATGTCACAGACACCAGAAACTGGTCCAAGATGCCAAAGGCAGTCAGAGGTGATCAGACTTTGGCATCCTGGCTCAGGACCCTCAAGGACATTTTCTCCCTGAGCTGGGGGTGGGACTTTGGGATTGAGTGGTGTGGGAAATGGAGAAAGGGGACATTTCTGGGGCAGGCTGCATGCGCTTATGCTTTCCAATGCTGATGTTATACTACTGTGCCACTAAAAATTGCTTTGTCTTTTCTCTTTCTCTTTATGTCCTCCCAATCCCCTTACCCCTTTGCTGTTTGTGCAAGGACATGGGCTGATATATCTGTTTTTTCCTTGTGTAACAGACGCCTTGTCTTTCCCTTTTCACGGACCAGGACGAAGTAACGGTGGAAACCACCGACCCTGAAAAGAATAAAATGGACAAATTAATTGAAATTCTCAACAGCATGCGGAACAACAGCAGTGATGTTGACTCCAAGCTCACCACCTTCATGGAGGAGGCCCAGAACTCCACCAACTCTGAGGAGATGCTGGGGGAGATAGTCAAGACCATCTACCAGAAAGCGGTGACAGACCGCAGCTTTGCTTCCACAGCAGCCAAGCTCTGTGACAAAATGGCCCTTTTCATGGTGGAAGGAACCAAATTCCGGAGTCTGCTCCTCAACATGCTGCAGGTAACGAGATAAAGTTAGTTGTTCAGATGCCTGGAGCATCATCTCAATTGGTCTGACCAGTTATTTGGAGCTGAGCTGTTACCAAATTCCTCTTGAACCCAATCGATGAGTTCAAATTGCACCTGTTGTTTTGTCTGTGCACATCTTCAGTGGTTACCATAGATAATGTGACACTGAGGGCATTATCAAGGTACTCTTCATTCTCATTTCATGAACTCTACAAGAACTGTGGCATCTCACACCAGGGCCTATCTGAATAATGAGTCAGCTGCTTAAGGCAGCATTGCCATGGCATGAAAAGAAATGAACTGGGAGGGTCTCTCAGTGTAGGCTGTTAGAGTGGAGGGTCCATCTCAGCACCAATACAAATCTCTGATGGTCTTAGACACCAGGCTGATACATGAGCAGGCTTTAGGCTGCACTACCTGGCTTGATTCTGCTTTCTGATTACAAACAAAACTGAAATAATTGCATATTTTCCCATTATTCTGGGTGACTTGTTTATTGATATGTGGAGAACTGGTTGGTTGTTCTGCTCCAAAACCATCAGTGACAGCAAAGTTGCAGAGGGGAGGAAAAGCAGCTGCTCTGATCACTGGTCCATGAGGTTAATGGTTGGACTTGGTGGTCTTGGAGATCTTTTCCATCCTGGATGATTCTATAATAATGTTGGATGATAGAAAAAAGGGCTATCCTCAGGTGCCCATGGTCTGCTGGAAGGGAGTGTGTTTTACTGCAGTGCCACCATTAGATTGGGCAGTTGTTTTCTGGGAGGGTGTCACATGCTCCTCCAATTTTCTGCCTCTGGAGACAGAGTTGAAACAGTGAATTTCCATCCTCAATTTAAGGTGCATTTCCACGTGGCTGTTCCCTCACACACCATCTGTGGGACATGCAGAGCTCACTTTTCATTTCTTTGCTCTCCATACAAGTCTGTTGTTCACCACCACTCCAGTTTTTGACTCATCTTCTCATTCTTCTTGCTGCTCTTGTTGGAGATGCTCTCTTGGATGCTGTGGCTGGCTGCATGTACCTTGAGTTGGCATTGGGGCAACACAGCAAGCAGGGAAACAAGGAGTAAAATGGAATAGTGAAAATCGATATCAGATAATTCTGCAGATTTGCTTCTGTCATTGCTCTGCGTGCACATGAAACATAACAACTCTCCCCATGTCCACTCCCCCCTGCAAAGCCCTTGGCCAGCATACACATCTGCCTATTACCTCTACCAGGGGCTGATTTGTTCCAGATTAGTATTTCCAAAGGGAATATCAATCAGAATGAGGGAAATTGCAGACAGAATCAGTCCCAGCATAAGCAGCAAGGGGCTGGAGGGAGCTCCAAACCTGCTGTGCATCCCTTTCTTCCCATATCAGGTCACTCTTGCATCTTTCCCTGTTAGGCTGAGCAATCTAAGAAATCCAGAATAAAGCCCAGGAATGATGGCCTGAGAGCAGCAGGGTGTTAGCCCACAATTGATGCTGATGGCAGTCCTGGGTTAGGGAGGACTCTTCCAGCTTGCTTTATTCCCTTGCCCCAGCAATTCCACCCATGCAAACAGACCCATGTAAACTGTGCAAGACTGAGTGGCTTCCCATTCAGCTCTTCACAGCATGAATGTAGGATAAATAATATATCTCCTATCTCCAGAGAGACTCAAAGTGCTTCTCAGGAATGAGTTGCCAGTCCCAGTGTGATGGGAGCGTTGTGGAGAGCTGAAGTGCAAAGAGGGAGCAGGGTGTGCGGGTGACCGAGTTCATGTGCTGAGGCACAGAGAAATATGCAGAAGGGATTTGTTCAGCCCCAAACTGCACATCTTTTATAAATGTCTAGATGGGCAAAAGGTGACAGATCACTACAGGTCAAAAGCAAAGTGCTGTGTGAAATTGAATAATTTAACATTTCCTTTCTGATAGTAAAGGATTTTGACTTTCTCCAAGCAGTGTTGTCCAAATGAAACAATCAGATGCACTCAAACTGATTCATAAATACTTCGGTCAAGCCCTAAACCAGGAATATTTTGAGCTATTCAGGTCTGATAGCCCTGGCTGGAGACAGAGTTAGGTATGAGGCACGAAAGAGTCATTGCAGCTGCCTTGGTGTGAAATAAGGAGGTTAATTATCAATATCAATATGGTATGTTGGAACTGATACGATGTATTATCAGTATTAATAAGGCATATTGGATATTATGTCATGTTACAGAGTAATGTGAATACCCCATTAGTGTATGATATATTAATACATTGATATCAGTTATTATGTATCCATATGTATACATATATATATACACACAGATCTATATATATCCATATGTTACAATCACATTTTTATATGACTGATGATAGGACATTACCCAGCTACAATCCTGGCCCTTCCACCATCAGATACTTTCCGTCAGCCATTTTTAGATAACTCACCGTTAATTAAAAAAGAGAAATAAACCTTTATTAAAACGCTTGCTGCAGAGCAGGATTTGTGTCTCTCTAGCACCTTTCAGACTAATCTGATCCCCGGGCGTAAGGAGCTCGGCTTGCTGGGCACCGGCGAGCTGGGGAATTACTGTGCCGGGGTGTGATAAATCGGGATCAGTGTGATCCCTGCCCGTGCTGCTGGCGCCTGGGGCTGCACCGCTCGCCCCCCCATCTGCTCCCAGCAGATGCTCCTGTTTTGTAGGGGCTTGTTTGTCCCTTTCCCTCAGGACTGCAATGGCAACAGCTCACCCCCACCAGAGGACCTCAGGAATTGGTGCATGAACCCCTTGAGATGCCCTGCCAGCGTGGTCATACCTATAGACAGCATCCCTGTCCCTGTAGACAGTGTCCCTCTACCCTGCTGGACCTTAAAACAAAGTGGTTTTTTTCCCCCTGCAAAACAGGCAGTAAACTGCCTTTTTAACATGGTTCCTCTTCTGTTTTCACGTGTTGACAAGGTGCTCATGCTCAAGGGTTGCACATGTTCCCAGCTTATCTCAGGGTACTTGTTTTGATCCCAAAAGAGATGCCAGTACTGCAGCATGGGAGTGTTGTCACATCATCCCCCTCCCTGCCAGCAGCTCCTCTGAAGAACTTTCCTATAGCCAGCATGATCCACTTCATCCCCTAAGGAAAACTCTGGTTTGAATTTATCCTTCACTCCATGTTTTGGTCCAGAATCTTGGCTAGGTCTTGAGTTTGGGTGCTGCCAGCCTCTCAGGAAAAGAGATGTGGAAAGGGGAGCCATGGGGTGGAGAGGTGGTAGAGCTGACATGTGGGAGCTTGGCACTGGGGGGATCATTTGGCATCTGAGTTGTCCAGCCCTGGCACAGGCTGCCCAGTGGTGGATCCCTGTTCGTGCTGGGATTTAAAAGTTCTGTGGGTATGGCACCTGGGGACATGGGTCATTGGTGGCCTGGGCAGTGCTGAGGGAGTGGTTGGACTTGGTGATCTTAGAAGGCTTTTCCAACCTAAACAAATCTGTGGTTTTGTGATTTGGGTTTGATTTTCTCCTCATTGAATTGGGTTTAGTCTTTCGGTAGCAAGAACAATTTTGAGCTATTTGAGCCCTTGGGATGGACCTGGGTGAGCTGGGCCAAGGGAGCTTGGATGTCTGGGAACATGAAAGAACATCTTAGTGGACACATATACGAGTTCTTCATGCCTCTAGAAATACCTTCTTAATTAATACATTGAAAGTATTTCTCCTTTGAGAGGCTTTTGCTTGCCATAGTTTCACTCACTGGCATGCCCAGGCTTTTTTTTTTTTTCCTTTCTTTCCAGTAGGGGGGTGTTAAGCAATGTGCCACAAACCCTTCACATGTAACATAAGTTGGAGTACTCCTCTGCTGGAACAACCGTGCTCTTTATAGCAGAGCTGTGTCTGCATCTGAGCTATGCAGAGCCAAGTGTATTATTAGAGTGAACATCACTGGGGCTGTAATTGTACACTGCTCCCCTTGGCAACCACAGCCAACAGCACATCAAACAGAAGGCTGATACCTTCTTTTAATAATAATGAAAAAAACCCCACCAAAATCACAAAATGAACATCCCAACACAGAGCAGCAGAGCCTGCTGGCCTGCTGCCAGAGGAGTTCCATCCCTGCACATGGAACTGCCTTGGTGCCAGAGGAGAAGGGCTGGTTCTGCTGGATGCCCTGTGGCTTACCCTGCTGCGTGCCCTGTTGGATACCCTGTGGCATATCCTAATGTATATCCCATTTCACACCCTAATGCATACCCTAAGGCACTCTGCATTTGATACGTCATAGGATACTCTGTGGCAAACCCTAATGCATCCCAAAATTTATACCCTAATGCATACTCAGTGGTGTACCCTAGTGCATATCCTGTTGGATGCCCTGTGGCATTCCCTGGTGAATATCTTGTGGTACAGCCCTAATGCATTTCCCATGGCATATCCTATGGTACATCCTAAACGCACCCTATTACTTACCCTAATGAACTTCCCGTGGCATATCCTGTGGTACATCCTAATATACACCCTGCTACATACCCTAATGCACTTCCCATGGTGTTTCCTATGGTGTATCCTAATGCACACCCCATTACATACCCTAATACATGCTCTATGGCATGTCCTATGGTGTATCCTAATGCAGACCCTACTACATACCATGATGCACTTCCCATGGTGTTTCCTATGATATATCCTAATGCACACCCTATTACACACCCTAATGCACTTCCCATGGTGTTTCCTATGGTACATCCTAATGCAGACCCTACTACATACCATAATGCTGCATTCCCTGTGGCATACCCTAGTGCATACCCTATAGTATATGCTAAAGCATTCCCTGTGGTATATCCTAATGCATTCCTTAATACACATCCTATTGCACACCCAAATGCCTACCTTATGATTTACCTTACTGTATATCCTATTGGGTACCCTGTGGCATACCCCAGTGAATACTCTATGGTATATCCTAAAGCATTCTCTATGGCATACCCTGATAAATACCCCATTTCCCACCCTAATGCTCCCCTGTTGCACAC